ATCTTGTACCCCCCTCAAAAAAAAAATCTTCTGGAAGTATTTCCATCCCTGACCTTAAGTTGTACAATAGAAAAACAGTAATAAAATCTGCATGGTATTGGCATTGAAACACACTGGTGGATCAATAGACTCAAACTGAAGATGAAGAAATAAACCCACAAACCTACAGACACTTGATTTTTGACAAACTAGCCAAAACCACACAACGGAAAAAAAAGATAGATTATTTAACAAATGGTGCTGCTCTAACTGGATGTCCTCATGTAGATAAATGCAAAGGTATTTATAACTCTGCATTAAACTAAAGTCCAAGTGGATCAAAGACCTCAACATAAAACCAGACACACTAAATCTGTTAGAAGAACAAGTGGGGAAGAGCCTGGAACTCATTGACACAGAAGACATTTTCCTGAACAGAATACCAACAGCACAGGCTCTAAGATCAACAATTAATAAATGGGACGCTATAAAACTGAAAAGCTTCTGTAAAGCAAAGGACCCTGTCATCAGAACAAAATGACAGCCTACAGACTGGGAAAGGATCTTCACCAACCTTATATCTGACAGAGGACTAATATCCAAAATATATAAAGAACTCAAGAAATTAAAAACCAATGTACCAAGAACAGACACATGCTTCCTAAGCTTTCTCTTCAGTCTTCCTGTTTGTCTGTGTCTTCCATCTCTCCAATTCCAGAATCCTCGTCCATCTTGCATTAATACCAATGCTAGTCATCTAGACGCAGAGCCAGTCTTACAGAAGCACAGATCAATGCCTTTGCTAACATACCGGCTACTGTCTTTGAAAAGACATTTCTGAATAGTACATCTGAAGGGTCTCAGGTCTGATTATCTTCAAGGATCACATCATACCTGTTTGTTTCAAGTTGCTTGGACATTTTACCCTGTGGCCTCTGTGAACCTAATGTGATTTGGTGGATCCTGATGTTTCAGATGTTTTTTTGTTTGTTTGTTTGTTATAAGATTTCTTTTGCTTTTATGTGAAGTCAGATTTGACAGGGCCTTAAAACGCGTGGCTTTGTGTTTACCAAGTCAAGGTATACAAATGACATTTAACAATGTGTATGAATAAACTATTACAGCTCTTAAAAAAAAACAATCTACCAAGTAATCCAATTAAAAAATTGGGTACAGAGCTAAACAGAGAATTTTCAACAGAGGAATAATGAATGGTGGTGAAAAACTTAAAGAAATGCTCAACATCCTTAGTCATCAGAGAAAGGCAAATCAAAATGACTCTGAGATTCCATTTTACACCCATAAGAATGGCTAAGATAAAAATCTCAAGTGACAACCCATGTTGGAGAGGATCTGGAAAAAGAAGAACCCTCCTCCATTGCTGGTGGGAATGTAAACTTGTACAACCACTTTGGAAATCAACCTGGTGCTTTCTAAGAAAACTGGAAATAGTTCTATCTTAAGACCCAGCTATACCCCTCCTGGCATATACCCGAAAGATGCTCCACCATTCAATAAGCACATTTGCTGCACTATGTCCATAGCAGCATTATTCATAATAGCCAGAATATGGAAACAACCTAAATGTCCCTCAACTGAAGAATGGATACAGAAATTATGGCACATTTTTACAATGGAATACTACTCAGCAATTAAAAAACAATGAAATAATGAATTTTTCAGGCAAATGGATGGAGCCAGAAAGACACACATGGTGTATACTCACTTATAAGCAGATATTAACCATATAATAAAGGAAAAACATGCTAAAATCTACAGACCTAAAGAAGCTAAACAAGGAGGACCGTAGGGTGTATGCTTAAATCTCATTCAGAATGTCAAACAGGACAGACACCAGAAGCTTTGTAAGCGAGGAAATATGATGGGAGCCTCCTATAGAGGGTCTTTGGAAAGGCTCCACCAGACAGGTGATGGAAGCAGATGCCAAGACTTACAGCCAAACTTTGGGCATAGAGCAGGGAGTATTATGGGATAAATGGGGATAGAAGAACTCTGAGGGGATAGTGGCTCTACAAGGAGACCAACAAAGCCAAAAAATCTGGCTGCATGGGCCCCCGGAAGAAACTGATGAATCAACCAAGGAACATGCATGGAGAGGACATGCATGGACCTCCTGTTCAGATATAGGCAGATCATAGGTAGATCAGTCTCCAAGTGAGTCCGCTAATAAGGGGAGCAGGGGCAGTTTCTGACATGAAGTTGGTTGCCTGCTCTTTGAGCACTTTCCCCTGGTGGAGTTGCCTTGCTAGCCCATAGAGGAAGAGGATCCAGGCAGTCCTGATGAGACTTGATAGACAAGGGTCAGATAGTAGGGAAGGTCTCTCCCTTTTCAGTGGGCTAGGGGTAAGTGAAAAGGAGGAAGGAGAGAGGGAAGGTGGGACCAGGAGCAGATGAAGGAGGGGCTACAATCGAGATACAAAATGAAAAAATTAAAAAAAAATAAAATAAAAATTAAAAATTTCTGTTTTAACAATTTTGTTTGGAACAGTCAGAAAAAATCTTGTATTAGAGGAAGGGGTACAATGGCTCAGTCAGTAAAGTACTTGCTATGCGAGCCTTGAGGATCTGCGTTTGATCCTCCAGAGCCATGTTAAAAAGAAAAGAAAAGCCAGATATGGTAGCATCTGCATGTATTTCCAGCACTGGGGAAACAATGTCAAGAGAACCCCTTCAACTCACTGGCCCAACATTCCAGCTGAATTGGTGAGCTCCAGGTTTCACTAGAGACTCTATCTGAAAAAAATCAAAATAAAATAAAGTGAAGAGAAATCAAGGAAGAAGGGTGTTGGCACTAGACTGCATAAGCTTATACACATACACATATATGTGCATTCCACCCACGTGTACACACACACACACACACACACACACACACACACACACACACACACAACGTATACTAGAAAGTTTGGTAGTCAGTCTCCAAGATGGTTCTTAATGATCTGCTTCCTGGAAGTCATGCTCTTATGCAATCCTCACCCCACACTGAATAGGCTTAATCCATGCCATCAGTAGAATATTGTGAGACCGACAAGAGTGTTATTGTTTTGTTTATTTGTATGTTTTGAGGTAGGTCATATGAGACAGTGTTTTTTTCATATTCCCTGCCCTGGGGAAATTAGTTGTCATAAGGGTGTTCAGCAAGCACGTTTATTTGTCTATGTTTCAATACAAGCCCTTGTTAAACTACTTTGTGATGCATTTACACTTGCAATTGATATGATCATATAATTGCCATAGTATTTGTTCATTGCTGGTATGTTTCTCACATAGAAAGCTGAGCTATAAAATTTCCTTGATATTCAATTTTCTTTGCCTACTGAAGGATGACCAGTATGTGAGCTGAAGTTTTTTGTTCTACAATTTAGTCATTCTATTCAAAGACACTGAGGAGCTACCATGCCTTAGCACTGTGAGTTTCCAGGATAAGATGAAGTCTACACCTCAGGATCTCAACTAAACATTCCTTTACACTTGCTCCATCCTCTTGGGAATGTTCCAAAAGATTGCCTGTGGAGTTGGAGCATTCTTTCTTGTACCACTGTTTCATTGTCTTCTCAAAATAAGAATGAACAATTTTCTTTTGGATTCAAAGATTTGATACTACTTAGATGAATGAATAGGCTGAGAAGAAAATAAAAATACTGGGAAATTCCATGGTCATATCAAATGGATATGCTCATGCATAGCCATGCTTCTTTTCCCAGTTTCCCCCTTAGAACCTCCTCTATTTTTATTGTTAAAGGCAGGTCACCTCCCCACTCTCCTTAGAATGTATCTTCCCAGCTCTCTCAAGCTAAAATCTGTGCTGACTTCTCTTTATATCAAGGACATTCTTCATAGCATATAGGACTCATAAATCAACCAGGGAAAATAATTTTGTCGGTTTGGGTTAGAGTTTTAGTGTGACTAGCCTAGTTGGGTAGGACCATCTTCTGATACTGATGTATCTTTCTCCATGTCATTCTTCTGTCAGGCAGGGCTGTGTAAAAGCTATCCATTCACATGCTATTGCTGTGTAACATAGCACTTCAAGACTCACTGATGTATAATGAGATGTCATTTCTCACGTATGTGTCCTGAGATCTGAGATCGTGTGGACTGTGACTGAGCCCAAGTTTTGCTCAAGTTCAATTCAGTCCTTTCATCCTGCTTAAACCAGTGGCTTACATAAGAATGATATTAGAGTGGTGGTTGTGGGAGCACAGAGGAATAAAACCAAGCATATTTTATTTTTCAAGATTGATTACTGGGATGATTTCACTTTTATCTACATGCCCCTCTCCAAAGGAAGTCATATGGCCTAGACAAAAATCAGTGGAAAAGAGAAACATACTTCCCCCAATGAGTTTTGGGGCAATAAGGCAGGAAAAAAATGATTAAATGATGAAAAAACAGTCATATATACTGGGCTTTTAATTTTAGTTTTCCTTCCTTAACTGTATCATTACAAAATTGTTATAACCAAACTGAAACTTACATTTTTACAATTTGTTCGCATAATCTTTGGTTTACAATTTACAACACTGGTCTCATAGATTACAGGGTTTCACTTGTTATCACTTTTCTAACAGAAACACATTTTTCCTTTAGTTTACCATATTAAAACATTGTAAAATTGTTAATGGGACTGGAGAGATGGCCCAGTGGTTAAGAGCACTTGCTGTTCTTGAAGAAGACCTGAGTATCCCACTATCCACACAGTAACTTAAAACTATCCTTAACTCCACTTCTAGGGAGAACCAACACCTTTTTCTGATCTCCCTGGGGCCTATGCATGAACACAGTAAACATATATACAGGCAAAGTGTTGGAAGCTGTTGAAATAAAATGTGAGTCATGTAAGGCTTGATTAGTAGCTTGCATGTTTAAAAGTGTTTACCCGTGAGAATATTGATTCTTGGCCTTATCTTGGTGTCTGAACAAGTACAGAGTAAACGTTCCATGGACTTTGAGATGAATCAAAAGGAAGTACGATAAGAAAGTTGGTTAATTCTCTGTAAACATTTACGCATTTTTCACCCTGGCTTAGACTGCACTTGATGTATTATTTATGCACCTACAAGAAGAATATGTAAGGGCTGTTGGGTATAAATGGTCTGAAAAAAAAAAATAAAAGTCATCTCATCTTTTGCTGAGAACATCCTGATCTCTGTCTCTTGTTTTTCTTTTCTCTTCTCTTGTCTTTCTTTTCTCAATCCTCACTCTGTCTGCTAGGTGCACATTACCTGACTTGGTCAAATTGGTGTCCAATGTGTGAGGCCTGAGTAAGAGGAGAAAAGTGAAGGACATCCCTGGATAAAGAAATGAGCGCTCAGGAATGAAAGGTGAGCAGAGGTAAATATATTTATCTGGAGTAAGATGGGACAATGAAATAATAGTATGCTTTTTGTACGTATGCTTAAGAAATATGCTTTGTGCCAGAAAAGCTAAGGTAAGTCAGCAACAGTTGCTTACATTTTTAAAATTTATAAAAAATGTTTGTCCCTGTTTTCCTAAAAAAAATATCTGTGACTCTAGAAACTTGGAAAAAGAAAGGGGCTAAATAGTAAGATCATTATGCTGTTTTTGGACCTGAAAAGGTTCCTGTTAATACGTTCAGTTTCTGGGCCTTCGTTAGAGATAGTGTAGACCCTCAACATGAAAGAGAGAAGGTTCAAAATCAAGAGAAAGCTGCAGCCCCTTTAACTAACAACCCAGGAGAAAGTGAAACCAAACTGCGCCCGCCAGAGGATCTTTTTACAGAACCAGCAGATGAATTTCTGTTGAAGGAAGAAATGGATGATCCTCTTGACCCAAAGAATGCAGAGGAGTTGGAAGAAGAGGCAGCTAAATATCACAATGAGAATGATTTCTCCCCCTTTTAAATATCGAATGTGGTTGAATGTGTCAAAAAATATAAATACAGAAAAGAGATAAAGAAGTTGACTAGTGTGGTACAGTCTCTTTCTGCACAATTGCAGAAGTTACAGTGGGACTCCGAGAATGCTCTGAGCTCCCAAAGAGAGTCATTAGACTCTCAGCTGGTTCTGAGAGGGTCAGATGCTCTGAACTCCCAGGGAGAGTCGGATAACTCTGATTTAGTTTTTGAGCCAGCATAAGATCTCTTTGCCTCTCTTGCAGAGCAACGTCAGAAAACACAGGTTTGATATTTTGCTTTTATCTTTATCTCCCAGGTATCTTCCTGTGTCTTCTTGTATCTGTCTGTTGTTTGTATTATGCTTGTCATTGTCTTAGTGTGTACTTTTCTGGATTAATTGTTAGCAATCGTAGGCCAAACTTCATCTGTTGGCTGTCTGTTTACCCCTTAAACTTGGTTTAGCTTACTTGAGAATTTTTCAGAGAGAGAGAGAAAAGGCAAGTCATTTGGAACAGCAAAAACTGATATATGGGCTCTGTCCTTGAAGCCCTGCAGTTGCGGCTGGGAGTCTTGTGCCTGAGTCAAGCTGGCAGCAGGCATGGGGCTGCCTGGGCAGGTTGCTCTTAATGGGGCATCAGCAGCTTCTCAGTTTTCCCCTTTAATTCTGCTACAAAGCCTCAATGGTCATAATAATTGGATTCAACAGGTAGCAAGATGTTCCTCCCTTAAAATTACAGCTAAAAAAGTAAGAAAACTTTGTCTGTTTTGAATGTGTAAGTTTACTATGTTCTATATGTCTTGGTTATAGATTATTGACTATTGTGTTTGTTTAAAATCTTTAGCACCAAGTTTACTTAAACTTAAAACCTAGGGTTAGAGCCATTCTAAACAACAAATGGTATAAGCCAACTAAGGAAACAAGTCTCCAAAGATAATACTAAATTTGGTTTTGACTTCTAAAAACTATGGTTATGTTCTATAATTTCACTCTTAAAAAGGTACTTTGTTTTGACATTGCAAAAACAGGTTTTTAAAAAATATTTAAATATATAAGGCTATAAAACTATATAAAGCTTATATCTTAAAATTACCTGATAAACTTTATATATATATACTTTATGTATAAACTTTATATATATATATATATAATATTTAAATATATAAGGCTAAAAAACTATATAAAAAGTTTATCAGGTATTTTAAGATATATCTACTTGAATCAGTTGATGTACTGACTCAGTCCAAGTTTATTGCCCTATTTCAAATTGAATTAGCACAACAATCTCATACCTTGCCTCATCAAAATAGCAATAGCCTAAAAAAAAATCTATCTTTTCACCCATGAGGCTACTAGTCAAATTATAAAACAGCACCCACCATGTCTAAAATATACAACTGTACCACCCATGGGTGTTAATTCTCGAGGACTTATTCCTTTTTTTAATTTTATTTTTTTTATCAGTTACATTTTACTAACTCTGTATCCCAGCCGTGTCCCGATCCCTCATTCCTTCCCAGTCCCTCCCTCCCTCATCTCCACCATGCCCCTTTCCAAGTCCACTGATAGGGGGGGACCTCCTCCCCATTGACTTATTCCTAATCAGTTAGTCAGATGGATGTTACTTGTATATCAGAGTTGGGAAAACAAAAATACGTCACGTATACTGGACACTGTCTGGCTTTATTTTTGCTTCTGCACAAATTGGAAAAGCTGCTAAACACATTATTGCTCTTTACTTTTTATGCTTCACTATTATGGGTACACCAAAACTCATTAAAACAGACAATGGTCCTGGATATATTGGTAAGGCATTTCAAACTTTTTGTATGCAGTTTAATATCACCCACAAAACTAAAATTCCTTATAATCCACAAGGACAAGGTATTGTTAAAAGAACACATGGTACATTAAAACAACAATTACAAAAAATAAAAAGGGAGTTATATCTCTGGACTCCAAAGAATTATTTAAATTATGTTTTGTTTATTTTAAAGTTTTTGAATTTGGACAGACAGGGTTTGTCAGCTGCAGAACAGTTTTAGCACCCAAAAACCAAAGATAATTTGCCATGGTGAAATGGCAATGTCCTTTAACTGCACAATGGAATGGACCTGACCCAGTTTTTTTTTTTTAATTTTTTATTTAACTTTTATTAATTACACTTTATTCATTTTGTATCCCCCATAAGCCCCTCCCTCCTCCCCTCCCGGTCCCCCCTCCCCCCTTTCTGCATGCATGCCACTCCCTAAGTCCACTGATAGGGGAGGTCCTCCTCTCCTTCTTTCTGATCTTAGTCTATCAGTTCTCATCAGAAGTGGCTGTATTGTCAGGGTTCTAGGTTATCTCCATGAATAGTCCTTGGTTGGAGTATGAGTCTCTGGGGAGTTCCCTGTGTTCAAATTTTCTTGTTCTGTTGCTCTCCTTGTGCAGTTCGTGTCCTCTCCAGCTCTTAGTATTTCCCACTTCTTACATAAAATTCCATTCACTCTGCCTGTCAGTTTTAATATGGTGATGAGGCCCTGTTTGTGTTTTCCCACAAAATGCTAAAATGTTCTTTGGTTACCTGAACGACTGGTGCAGTTTATGGAGGCTGCCCCTACCGTTGCTCATATCGACTTGTGGTGATGAGTGCAACAGGAGAACCATAATGGGCTTTTGTTCCTGATCCTGCTCTGCTGCATCCTGTTCCTTGGGACAGCCTGGAGTACTTGTATCTGCTAATGACACTCCCTAGATTTTCCTTGAATTGAGCAACAAGTGACTTCACAGCTGGTTAATTGTTCTTGCATCAGTGTGGCTGTTCTGTATACTTTGCAAAGAATGCTACTCAAGACGGATGTGTCACCATTTCATCACAAATATGGACTGCCAATGTCACAAAGAATACTCAAAAAAGTATCATGATGGGCGTGCCACAGTTAGAAGAAACTAATATTTCTCAGAACTTACATCCACAAAGTTTCAGAACATGTTTTTTAAAACCAGGTGGTTTATTTTATCCCATATATAATAAGTCTATTCATTGGAAGTGATGTTATCATAACATACATGTTCAATTCTCTGTTAGTAATGTCACCAAGATAATTAGCTGCTCAGGGAATCAAGCGGATTTAGGTAATAAAGAACTTGCTTCAGAAATTTGGATTATTCCAAAAAGTTATATTCAGAGGCATTTATGGAATGTTGTTGCAGTAATGTATTTTCTTATGCTGTCTACTGATACAAAGATTAGTAACAGTAGTTATGGACATGATTTTAGGAAGGATGTCTTGGTTTGCTTAATCATCCTTATGAATTTGTCTAGGTAATGCTAAAATTGAAAATATGTCTGCACACTTTGATGTTTCTTGCTTGAATTGTTATCTCTCCAATTGCTTATCAGTTGTTAATATAGGAATTTCAGTTTTGATTTTACGTTAGCCACTATTTGCAATGGTTCCTGTGAATGTATCAGCTGCGTGGTGTTCAGATAAAGGTTTTCAGGTATTGGAATAAATGGCTTTAAGTAGAACTAAATGTATGGTAGGCTTAAAAATTAAATCATGATTGAACTGTCATGCTACTTATCAATGGATTTTGTATTATGCCCTTAAAATATAATGAAAGTAATTCTACTTGAGAAAAAGCTTAAAAACATTTGTTGGCAGTATGGCATCATACCAATTTGTCTTTAGACTGGGTTCAGCTACATCAAAAGGTAGTCTTTATGCAAAAACCTAAACCATTGAATTTTGACACAGCAAAAACTGCTAAAGACCTTTTAAGTCCATTGTTTTCACCCTTGCCTTCATGGATATCATTCATCCATAGGCTTTATTGTTGTACGTGTGTTGGCTGTTTTATTGTTTCTCGTGTGTAGTCTTCTTCCAGTGATCATATATTTGATGCTTCTAGCCTTACGCAGAATTACAGGACAGCTCCATAGACTTAAGCTGAAAGATTCCACCACCCCCCTCCATGTGACGGGCTGGTAGTCAATGATGGTTAAGAGTTTGAAACAACATGATCAACCTAAGACAGGAAACTATCGAAGTGAGATGGTTTTCCAAAGACAGGTAAGACATGTATGTTATCAAACTAACTTAAAACAGGCAGAGTCCGTCTAATAAATAAAGAAGGGGGAAGTGTTGGGGGCTGTTGAAACAAAATGTGAGTCATATAAGTCTTGATTAATGGCTTGCATGCTAGAAAGTATTTCTGCATGAGAAGATTGATTCTTGGTCTTACTTGGTGCCTAAGCAAGTACAGAGTAAATGTTCCATGAACTTTAAGATGCCTCAAAAGGAAGTGCAATAAGAAAGTTGGTTAATTCTATGTAAACACTTATGCATTTTTCACCTTGGCTTAGACTGCCCTCGATATATTAGTTATACACCTACAAAAAGCATATGTAAGGGTTGTTGGATATAAGTAGTGGTCTAAAAAATAAAAATCATCACAGCATTTGCTGAGAACCTCCCCATCTCTGTCTCTTGTTTTTCTTTTCTCTTTTCTTGTCTTTCTTTTCTCAACCCTCACTCCCTCCCCAAGGTGCATGTTACCTGGCTGAGTAGGCTCAGTCAGCAAAGCACTCACACACATAAAATAAAAATAAACAAATCTTTAAAAAGAAAGAAAGAAAGAAACCACTATGGGGTTGTTGAGATGGCTCAAAGGTAAAGACATAGGCTGCCAAGACTGATAACCTGAGGTCAATAGCTGGGATCCACATGGTAAAAAAAAAAAAAGAACTGACTCCCATAGGTTGCCCTCTGACTTCTGAACTTGTGCCATGATGTATGCACCTATATAACACAGATATGAAATAAATAAGTAAATAAAATAAAAAATAGTTTAAAATAAAACTTTATGAAGGTAGGAATGAGATTAGACTATATAAAGAACTCACAAATTTAAACCCAAACAAACCAAATAATCCAATTAAAAATGTGATACAGAGCTAAACAGAGAATTCTCAACAAAGGAGTCTCACATGGTAGAAAAGTACTTAAAGAAATGCTAACAGCAACTTTATTTGTAATAGCCAGAAACTGGAAACAAACTAGAGGTCCCTCAACTGAAGAATGGATAAAGAAACTGTGGTACATTTACAAAATGGAATATTACTCAGCCATTAAAAACAAGGAAATCGTGAAATTTGCAGGCCAATGGATAGAATTAGAAATGATCATCCTGAGTAATGTGACACAAACCCAGAAAGACACACATGGTGTATACTCACTGTTAAGTGGATTTTAACCATATAGTACAGGGTAGATATTCTACAATACACAGATCCCAAGAAAGTAAGTCTCATGGGCATCTTAGGCTTCATGTTGGCCTACTAGTTAGGGGAGCTGTCGATATCTCTGACATGGACTATGTTGCCTACTATTTGATCAATTACCTCTGGTGGGACTACCCTACCAGGACGCAGGGGAGGAAGACAAACTCATTCATCAAGTGAATAGACTAGCCTGGTTTCTAGAGAGAGGATTTTCCCTATTCTGAGGAATAAGGGAGAGGATATGCAGGAGGGAGAGTGGTATTAGAGGAGAAGAGGGAGGAACCTATGACTGAGATGTAAAATGAATTAATAAAAAAACTCAAAAAGTGTGCATATTGCAAATGCACTCAGTAGTAAATAACATGAAATTCAAGGTATAGTTGCTGGAATAAATGGAAATTTATTCTTTTTTTTCCTGACAAGCAGTTCAAGAGCAAGGAATAATTGCAATAATTGGCAATATTATTTTCTCTCTCTGACTCATGGTTATTAGTGCATTGATCCATGATGAAAAGTGTCTTGGGTTTTTTCTTTATGTTAAAGTTTGCCTATATTTTGGGTATATGCCCAGGAGTGGTAAAGCTGGATCTTGAGGTAGTGCTAGTCTCAACTTTTTGGGAAAGCACCAGATTTATTTCCAAAGGGATTGTACAAGTTTGCACTCCCACCAGAAACAAGAAAGGCTTCCCCATTCTCCACATCCTCTCCAGTATGTGTTGTCACTTGAGATTTTGATGCCTCACTATTCAATAATGACATTTGCTCAGCTATGCTGATAGCAGTTTTATTTGTAATAGCCAGAATCTGGAAACAACCTAGATGTCCCTCAGTGGAGGAATGGATACAGAAATTGTGGTACATTTACACAATGGAAAACCATTCCTCAGTTGAGGGACATCTGGGTTGTCTCCAGATTCTGGCTCTTATGAATAAAGCTGCTACAAACATGGTTGAGTATATGTCTTTGTTGTCCGCTTGAGCAAATTCTGGATTATATGCCTAGGAGTGGTATGGCTGGATCTTGAAGCAGTACTATTCCTAATTGTCTGAGAAAGCACCGGGTTGATTTCCCGTGTGTTTGTACAAGTTTACATTCCCACCAGCAATGGAGGAGGGTTTCCCTTTCTGCACATCCTCTCCAGCATGTGTTGTTGCTTGAGGTATAAGGTGAAATCTCAGGGTTGTTTTGATTTGCATTTCCCTGATAGCTAAGGTTGTTTAGCATTTCTTTAAGCATTTCTCTGACATTAGATATTCCTCTATAGAGAATTATCTCTTAGCTCTGTACCCCATTTTTTAAGTGGATTACTTGATTTGTTGCTTTTTAACTTCTTTGGTTCTTTATATGCTCTGGATATTAGCCCTCTGTCAGATATAGGGTTGGTGAAGATCCTTTCCCAGTCTGCAGGGTGTCATTTTGTTCTGATGATAGTGTCCTTTGCTTTACAGAAGCTTTTCAGTTTCATGAAAAGGTCCATTTATTGACTGTTGATCTTAGAGCCTGTGCTATTGGTGTTCTGTTCAGGAAAATGTCTCCTGTGTCAATGAATTCAAGGCTCTTCCCCACTTTTTCTTCTAACAGATTTAGTGTGTCTGGTTTTAGGTTGAGGTTTTTGATCTACTTGGACTTTAGTTTCGTGCAGGGTGATTAATATGGACCTATCTGCATTTTTCTACATGTAGACATCCAGTTAGACCAGCACCATTTGCGAAGATGCTGTCTTTTTTTTCCCATTGTATGATTTTGGCTTCTTTATCAAAAATCAAATATCCTTAGGTTTGTGGGTTCATTTCTGGGTTTTCTATTTGATTCCTTTGATCCACCGTTCTGTTTCTATGCCAGTACCTTGCAATTTTTATTACTATTGTTCTGTAGTACAGCTTGAGATCAGGGATGATGATACCTCCAGATGATCTGTTCTTATATAGGATTTTCTTGGTTTTCTGTATTTCCATGTGAAGTTGAGAATCGTTCATTCAAGGTGTGTAAATAATTGTGTTGGTATTTTGGTGGGAATTTCACTGAATCTGTAGATTGCTTTTGGTAGAATGGCCATTTTCTCTATGTTAATCCTACTGATTCTTGAGCATGGGAAATCTTTCCATCTTCTGATATATTCTTCAATTTCTTTCTTCAGAGACTTGAAGTTTTTTTTTTTTTTTTGTTTTCAAACAGGTCTTTCACTTGCTTGGTTAGAGTCACACCAAGGTGCTTTATGTTATTAGGGGCTATTGTGAAGGATGTTGTTTCTCTAATTTCTTTCTCAGCCGTTCATATACAATAGGGCTACTGATTTTTTTTTAAGTTAGTTTTGTATCTAGCCACTTTGCTGAAGATGTTTATCAGCTGTAAGAGTTCCCTGATAGAATTTTTGGGGTCACTCATGTGTACTATCATATCATCTGCAAATAGTGGTAGTTGGACTTCTTCTTACAGATTTGTTTCCACTTGATCTCCTTTAGTTGTCTTGTTGCTCTAACTAGGACTTCAAGTATTTCAAGTATTATGTTGAAGAGATATGAAGAGAGTGGGCAGCCTTGCCTTGTTCCTGATTTAAGTGGGATTTTTTTAAAATGAACTTATGCATTTTTGCTGAAAGCAAAATTATATTTTGAGCTTTATAGGAAAATAAATAAGGGTGAAAGCTGTTGGGAAGGAATAATAAAACCCAGAGCATCTACTATAGGAGGAAACATACATGACTCCTTGTTCTCAATCAATCATTCTTTTAAGTAGTGCCTCCTGCAAGTATCCACTTGGAACAAATACAAAATCTATCCCCACACCCATGCCTCTGTTCACTTAAGTAATGTGGCCATTTTCTCTCAGGTGACATGGATACTGATAGTGTAAGATGATTGGTAGTTTTCATATTGTCCAGGGTTATTGTAATACTTGATCAGTTGACTAATACTATAAAAGGACTTACTTTGATAGTATGTCCTTCAGCAACATTCTTGACTCTTCTGGGTTTCAGTTGCATTACTTAAAACACACACTTATTTTTTTTTAAGACTCAACTAGCTAAGTATTATGACTTATGTATTATAAATTTTTTGTGTTTGTTTGTCGACTTGATATAGCTAGAATAATATGGGAAAGGAGAACTTCAAATGGCACAGTCTATGGCACATTTTCTTAAAGATTGATATGGGAGGACTCAGCCTACTGTGGGCAGTGCCACTCCTGGGAAAGTTCCTGGGTTATATAAAAAAAGCAAATTGTTCAATCCACAAGAAGCAAGCCAGCAAGCAACATTACTCCATTGCCTCTGCTTCAGTCCTTTCCTTAACTTTCCTTGATGATGCACTATAAGGTATAAGAGTAAAGAAGCATGCATCTTAGCAAGGAAAGGAGGTACGGCAACTGAAGATCTTCTGTCCCTCTGTTCCTCCAAATTCAGTCAATCCCCCAGTCTCATCCTCAGCTCTGCTGCAAAACACCTGTGACAGATACCCCGTCTCTGTGGATCCCACAGATCTTCCCCTTCCTAACCTCCATCCCATCACTTATTAATTTATCCCAGCCTCTAATTCTGGGAAGCCTTCCCTGGAAACCAACAGGCCACTCTGCCCGGGAAAGCAGATAGGCAAACTACAGATCTTCACCTCTCCCTCTGGTCCTCCCAATCCAATCTCCCGGTCTCATCCCCAGCTCTGTAGCAGAACACCTGTGGCAGCCTCACTTCCCCATCTGCCTCCACTTCTAGTGGATCCTACAGACCTTCCCCATCCATTGCTTTATCCCAGCACTAAACTCCAGCAGGCACTTTCTGGGAACCCACAGGCCTCTCTGACCCTGGAAGCAAGTAGGTTAACTATAGATCTTCCTCTTTCTCTGATTTTCCTCCAAGTCCAATACTCTAGTCTCTCTCTAACTCTGTAGCAGAGCTTCTGATGTGGCCTCTCCTCACTCTCTGTCCTCATTATGAGGGGATCTAACTAAGTAGATCCTAGTGGAACCCCCTATAGCCAGACCACAGAAGAGTTTCCTGCCAGGCAGCATATAGCCAACACTCTCTCCTAAGGAACAGAGAGGGCAACATAAACCAAGGAACAAGATATCCACACAACAAAGACAAGGGCAGATACCCAGTATCTAGAATTACAATCTTCCCAATCACAGATGCCTACTCACTAGTGCAAAGACCCACTTAGTAACAGCTAGGACAATATGTCTCTACTAGAGCCCAACAACCCTACCACAGCAAGCCCCGAAAGTTCCAATATAGATGAAGCACAATGAAAAGACCTTAAAATAGTCTTTATGAATATGATAGAGGTCTTTAAAGAGGAAATAATATAAACTTCTTAAAGAAACCTATGAAAACACAAACAGTGGAAGGAAATGAATAAAACTGTTTAAGACCTGAAAGCAGGAAAGAATTAGTAAAGAAAACCCAAAACTGAGGGAAAATCTGGAAACCTTAGAAACTTAAACAGGAACCACAGAGGCAAGCTTCAACAACAGAATACAAGAGATGAAGGAGAAAATCTCAGGCATTGAAGATACAATAGAAGACATGCATACTTCTGTCAAACAAAATGTTAAATCTAGTGTCCAGGAAATCTGGGACAGTATGAAAAGACCACTTCTAATAGGAATAGAGGGAAGGAGAAGAAACCCAGATCAAAGCCACAGAAAATATTTTCAATAAAATCATAGAAGGAAACATTTCTACTCTAAAGAAGGAGATGCCTATGAAGGCAGAAGAAGCATACACAACACCGAGTGACTGGACCAGAAAACAAAGTCACTTGGCATACAATAACCAAAACACTAAATGTATATAATGAAGAAAGAATATTAGAAGCTGCAAGGAAGAAAAAAAAGACAAAATATCATATAAAGGCAGAAATATTAGAATTCACATGGCTTGTCAATGGAGACCCTAAAAGTAGAAGGGCCTGGACAGATGTGTTGCAGACTCTAAGAGATCATAGTTGCCAGCACAGACTACTATACCTAGCAAAATTCCCTACCTATCTTACAGAAGGCACTATAAGGAAAACTCTAACCTAAGAGTTTAACTACATCCAAAAAACCCTGGGAATAAATAAGTTCAGACCAGCAAATGCAAAATAAGAGAAACATTCATGCATACACACGACACACCCACCATCACCACTACCATCGCCATGACCACCATCATCACCACCACCACCACCAACAACAACAATGAAATAACAAAAAATAAAGTCATTGATCCTTGATATCTCTCAACATCAATGGTCTCAATTCCCCAATATAAAGACACAGAGTAACAGAATGGATATGAAAACAGGATCCATCTTTCTGTTGCATCCAAGAAATATTCTTTAATATCAAAGACAGACATCATCTCAGACATAAATCTAAATGCCTATAAACACGGATATTTTATAAAGAAGCCAGAAATATACACTGGGAAAAAAAAAAAGACAGTATCTTCAATACTGGAGGCTGCACGTGGAAGAATTTAAATAGATCCATAGTCATTTCAACCCCAGACAGATCAAATACCACAGCATAAATCCAGACACACTGAACCTGATAGAAAATGGGAGATAGCCTTTAACTCATCAGCACAGGAGAAGACTTTCTGAACAGAACACCTTTAGCATAGATAATAAGATCAACAATTAATAAATGGGACCCCAATGAAACTGAAAATCTGCACAGCAAAGGACACCATCATTTGGACAAGACAGCAGCCTAAAGAATGAGAAAAAAGTGCTGGAGAGGTGTCTCAGCGGTTAAGAGTACAGCTCTGCTCTTCCAGAGGTCCCGAGTTCAGTTCCCAGTAACCACATGGTGGCTCACAGCCATCTGGAATGTGGTCTGATGCCCTCTTCTGTCATGCAGGTGTACATGTAGATAGAGCACTCATACATAAAATAAATAAATACAAATTTAAAAAATGAATGAGAAAAGATGTTTTTTTATCAACTCCACATCTGATCAAGGACTAGTATCCAGACTATATAAAGAAATTTAAAATCTAGATATCAAGAAAATAACCCCATTAAAAATTTGGGTACAGATCTAAATAGAGAATTCTCAATAGAGAAAACTCAAATGGCTGAGAAACACTTAAAAATGTTCAACATTCTTAGCCATCAGGGAAATTCAAATCAAAATGACTCTGAGATTCCATCTTACACCCAACAGAATGGCTAAGTTAACACAAGTGACAGCTCATGATGGTGAGAATGTGAAATAAGAGGAAAACTCACTCATTCCTGGTGGGAGTGCAAACTTGTACAACCACTTCGGAAATCAATGTTATGGTTCCTCAAAAAGTTGGAAATTATCTTTTCTGGTCAAATTTGTTGGGTGTTCTGTAGGCCTCATGTATCCTTATTGGCTTCTCCTTTAACTTGGGGAAATTTTCTTCAATGATTTTGTTGAAAATATTTTCTGGGCCTTGGAGATAATTTGAATACAGGGAACTTCCCAGAGACTCATACTCCAACCAAGGACTATTCGTGGAGACGACCTGGAACCCCTGCACAGATGTAGCCCATGACAGTTCAGTGTCCAAGTGGGTTACATAGTAATGGGAAGAGGGACTGCCTCTGATATAATCTGATTGGCCTGCTCGTTGATCACTTCCCCCTGAGGGGGGAGCAGCCTTATCAGGCCACAGTAGAGGACAATGCAGCTACTTTTGATGAGAACTGATAGACTAAGATCAGAAAGAAGAGGAGAACCTCCCCTATCAGTGGACTTGGGGAGTGGCATGCATGCAGAAAGGGGAGGGAGGGTGGGATCGGGAGGGGAGGAGGGAGGGGCTTATGGGGGGATACAAAATAAATAAATAAATAAATAAATAAATAAATAAATAAATAACATGTAACTAATAATAATAATAATAAACAATAAAAAAAGATCTAGCTATACCACTTTTGGGAATATAGCCAAAGGATACTTCATCCTACCACAAAGACATTTTGCTCAACTGTTTCATTGCTGCTTTATTCAGAATATCCAGAAACTGTAAAGTACCTAGATGTATGCATTGGATGGGGGTTGGAATGGGAGGATCCTATGGGGAGAGGCAGGTGGGAGGGAAGAGAAAGCTGAATGAGGGAAATGGGGAGATAAAGTTAAAATTAAGGGATGTTTTAAGGATAGTATAGAAACCACACACACACTCACATACATATATGTGAGGTAATCCAAATAATAGGGAGACAGAGTTCCAACTGGCCATCCCTTATTACCAAAGGAAGCTTCCAGTACTGGGTCTAGGTTACATGTAATTGAGTTGGCCAAAAGGGTGCCATGGAAATTTCCAAGTAATTCAGTCTGTGGCCAAGAATATAGGTTGCACTCCACAAACTGACAGCAAAACTCAGTTACTGAAGATCATGCCTACACAACTCACTGAACAATGGAGAAGTTGAGCCACTGCCTACCTAGAGCCTTAACCCTTACATGCTCATGGCTTTGGTACAGGAAGCAACTCTGCAGGCTACCAAAAGAGAAATGTAAACATCAATCCAGCCACAAAAACTACAATGTTGTGCCACCTACAAAATATGCTAGGGCAATGGTGGCACAAAGCTTGTATGAGTAACCAACAGTATCTGATTTGACTTAAGACCTAATCCATGAGATTGAACCCAAACCCAATACTGCTTGGGTAGCCAAGAATCAGGAACTAGATATCCCAGGGACCTAGGGTAAAACCAAATGGCACTGGTATAAACAAACCAGCAAGCAAGCAACCAACAAACAAGCATAAAAACAAACAAACAAATAAATAAATAAATAAATAAAATTAATAAAACAGTGATAAAATTACTCCTAATGATATTCTTCTATATTTACAGATCAGTACTTGGTATGCCATCACCAGATAAACTTCCTCCTGCAACAAATTGAAACAAATACAGAGACCACAGCCAGACATTATGGAGAGAGTGAGAGACCTTGGAACACTCAGCCCTAAATGGAATAACTTCATCAAATCCCTCCCCTCAGAGTGCAGGAAACCCCAGAGAAAAGAAGGTGGAAAGAATGTGTCTATATTATAGCTTCAAGTTTAGTGTTTTTATGGAATTCCTGAGTGTATGAACAAGTGGGTCTCTGATTCTTGTGACTTCTCTTGGGCTCTTTTCCATCTGTTGGTTTGTCCTGTCCAATTTTGATGTGATAGCTTTCATTTTATTTTACTATAGTTTATTTTGTTATATTTTAGTATTATCTCTCAGAATCCTGTTCTTTTCTAATGAGAGACTGGAGGAGTTGGCACAGATGTGAGGGAAGGTGGAAAGGAACTTGGTGGAGGGGGAGAGGAAACTGAAATCAGGATATATTATTTGAGAAAAAGAATTTAGTGTCAATAAAAGGAAAGGAAAAAAGAGTAAGTAAACCTTCTCTCATCTTTAAGTTGCTTTTGGTTATGGTATCTATTACAGCAACAAAAACCAAACTAGAGCAAGTATGAAACCTGACAGGCTCTTGTGTTAAATGTTTGGTCCCCAGCAGCCAGCACTATTTTGGGAGTTGACAATTTCAGGAAATAAAGGTTAATTGTGGGCCTTTGTTTGTGAAGGGAGGGGTTGTGAAGGGGCCTTTGAAGGGTATACCTGATCACCTTGTCCCTTCTTCACTCTTTGCTTCCTGTCTGCCATGAGCCCAACAGGCTCCTTATCCATACATTCCTACTATCATGATGGTCTGCCACGAGTCCAAAATACCAAGTTAAGTAATGATTAATTGCTTATGAATCCTTCTCAAATATGAGCAGAAACAAATCTCTTCTTCCTTTAAGTTCTTTATGTCAGGCAATTTGTCACAGGAATCATAAAATGAACTGATTAATACACTGGGTATGGTGGTACATGCCTAGAATTTTAACACATGGTAGTCTACAGCAGGAGCATATGGAGTGTGAAGTCAACCTGAGCTATATAGTGAGACCTTGTCTCAGAACAACGACAAGAACGTATATTAGAAAATGGTGCATTCAATATGTATTAATGCTTACCACCCCCATGATGTTTCAATGCAGTACTCTGGTGAACCAAAGGGATAAGATATACTTGTCAAAAATGAGTACCCCATGTCAGACACAGTCCCTGTTCCCCTTACTAGGAAACCCAATTGGTTACTGAGCTACCACAGGCTATATCCGAGCAGAGGTTCTAGGTTATACACTTATATGGTCCTTGGTTGGAGAAACAGTCTCAGAAAAGACCCCTGTGTCATCTCCAGGTCATACTAACTCTCCCTGCTTTCATATGATTCCCTGCACTCTGCCGAAGATTTGGTTATGAGTCTTAGTATCTATTTTGATATACTGCTAGGTAGAGTCTTGCACCCTGCTAGGCCAGAGTAGAGCTTTGCAGCCAGTCTTGAAGATACCTGATAAAACAGGGTCAGATGAAAGGGGATGAGGTCCTCCTCTATCAGTGGACTTGGTAAGGGGCAGGGAGGAGATGAGGGAGGGAGGGTGGAATTGAGAGGGAATGAGGAAGCGGGATATAGCTGGAATATAGAGCTAATAAAATGTAACTAATAATAAAAATAAATAAAGAAAAAAATAAAAAAAATGAGTACCCCATGAAGCTTTATAATCAGAATATGTCGTCCATAATTACCATTATTGTTTCAGGGCGCATCAATACATTCTGATTAAACAGGTCATCATCCTGTGCTTTGCATTGTTTTGTGCTTTGCATCAATAATATGTCAGAAATCTGCGTCAGCATTGCTTTCATTCAGCTGCTACATCAGTGTCATCACTAATTATTAGTGTTCTAGGATAGTCAGAAGGAAATCATGGGTGGAAAATATTTTCTAATATAAAGGACAAATGTATAAGAATATAAAAGCATCTTGCCTAAGACATAATCCTTGGATGAGGCAGAAATTGTTCTCATCCTTGCCTCCTGCCTTCCATCACCAAAGCTCTTCTTTACTATTCTTTACCAGAGTGATGGGGGTTGGGAGGAAACAAGAGAGTTTCTGCCTGTACTACCTCCTAAAGATAAAAAAAAAATGCTTTTTTTCTTTCCTTTAATATCTTTGAAATTCACTGACACTTATAATTTGTTATTATGTACTCATTCTTCTAATTGGGATTCAGGTCCAAATACTCAGCTGAAAAGTTAACTAATCAAGAAACAATTAGATCATTTAATCAGTAATTACTCTTGCTATGCCACCCAGATGACATACACATGGATTGCTTCAAACATATTGGAAAGTTGGATGTTCATTTCATATTTATCTCAACTTCAGACAACAGAAGCAAACAAGGTTCTCTCCTTTTCTCTGTAAAAATTAATCCAGGTACCTTGGGGGAAGGTATGAGGAGAAAGCTACAACAAGAGCCATTAAAATAAACTATTTCTTTCTATTGCTAGGATTTTTTATGTGAGAGAGTTTAACTTTGATAATTTCTGTGCATGTCTGTGCGTCTGTGTGTGGATATGTGCACATGAGTGCAAGTGCCCACCCAGGCCAAGAGAGAGCACTGGATACCCTGGAGCTGCAGTTAGAGGCAACTGTGAGTCGTTTAGCATGAGTCCTGGGAACCAAACTTGTGTCCTCTCCAAAATCAACAGCAAGCTCTCTTAACCACAAGAGCTGATTCTTTGAGAAAATCAACAAGATAGACAAACCCTTCGCCAAACTAACTAATAGGCAGAGAGAAACTATCCAAATTAGCAAAATCAGAAAACAAAAAGGGGGAGATAACAAGAGACACTGAGGAAATCCAAACAAATGTTAGGTCCTACTACAAAAGCCTATATGCTACAAAATTTGAAAATCTAAATGAAATGGAAAAATTTTTGATAGATTTGATTCACCAAAATTGAATCAATATCAGGTAAATATATTAAATAGTCCTATATTTCCCAAGGAAATAGAAGTAGTCATCAAAAATCTCCCTTCCAAAAAACATCCAGGGCCAGATAGTTTCAGTGAATAATTATATGAGACATTCAAAGAAGAGCTAACTCCAAGTCTCTTCAAGCTATTCCACAAAACGGAAACAGAAGGAACATTACCAAACTCATTCTATGAAGCTACTGTCATCTTGATACCTAAACCACACAAAGATCCAACAACAACAAAAAAGAGAAATTCAGACCTGTCTCTCTTATGAACATTGATGCAAAAATACTTGCAAACCGAGTCCAAGAACACATAAAAGATATCATCCACCATGATCAAGTATGTCTCATCCCAGGCATGCAGGGGTGATTCAATATAAGAAAATCCATCGATGTAATCCACCATATAAACAAACTGAAGTAGAAAAACCACATGATCATCTCCTTAGATGCCGAAAAAGAATTTCACAAAATCCAACATCCATTTAAACTCTTGGAGAGATCAGGGATACAAGGCACTTACCTAAACATAGTAAAGACAATATACAGCAAGCCTATAGCGAACATCAAACTAAACAGAGAGAAACTTAAATTAATCCCACTGAAATCAGGGACAAGGCAAGTGTGCCCACTCCATATCTCCTCAACATATTACTTGAAGTCCTTGCTATAGCAATAAGACAGCTAAAAGGAATCAAGGGGATACAAATCAGAAAGGAAGACATTAAAGTATCACTATTTGCAGATGATATGATAGTATACATGAGTGACCCCAAAAATTCAATAGAGAAGTCCTTCAGCTGATAAACACCTGTAACAAAGTGGTTGGATACAAAATTAACTCAAAAAAAAAATCAGTACCCCTATTGTAATGAAGGGCTGAGAAAGAAATTAAGGATACTACACCCTTCACAATAGCCACTAATAACATAAATCACCTTGGAGTGACTCTAACTAAGCAAGTGAAAGACCTATTTGAAAAAACTTCAAGTCTCTGAGGAAAGAAATTTAAGAAGATAAGAGAAGATAGAAAGATTTCCCATGCTCATGGATCGGTAAGATTAACATAGTGAATATGAGCATCCCACAAAAAGCAATCTACAGATTCAATGCAATTCCCATCAAAATACCAACACAATTCCTTATAGACCCTGAAAGGACAATTCTCAACTTTCTATGGGGAAAAAAAAACAGAATTACAAAACTGATCCTATATAACTACAGATCATCTGGAGGTATCTCCATCCCTGATCTCAAGCTGTAATACAGAGCAATAGTAATAAAAACTGCATGGTACTGGCATAGAAACAGAATGGTGGATCAACGGAATCGAATAAAAGACCCAGAAATAAACCTACTCAACATCCTTAGTCATCAGGGAAAAGCAAATCAAAACAACCTTGAAATTTTATGTTACACCCATCAGAATGACTAAGATCAAAAACTCAAGTGACAATACATGCTGGAGAGGGTGTGGAGAAAGGGGAACCCTCCTCCACTGCTGGTGGGAATGTAAACTTCTACAACCACTTTGGAAATCAATCTGGTGCTTTCTCAGACAATTAGGAATTGTACTTCCTCAAGACCCATCTATACCACTGCTGGGCATATATCCAAAATATGCTCAAGTACACAAGGACATTTGCTCAACCATGTTAGTAGCAGCTTTATTCATAAGAGCCAGAATCTGGAAACAACCCACATGTCCCTCAACTGAGGAATGGATACAGAAATTGGGATACATCTACACAATGGAATACTACTCAACAATTAAAAACAAGTAAATCATGAAATTTGCAGGCAAATGGTGGAAACTAGAAAATATCATCCTGAGTGAGGTATCCCAGAAACAGAAAGACACACATGGTATACACTCACTTATAAGTGGATATTAGACATATAATATAGAATAAACATACTAAAATCTGTATACCTAAAGAAGCTAAGCAAGAAGGAGGACCCTGAGTAAGATGATCAGTCCTCAGAAAGGCAAACAGGACAGACATTGGAAGAAGGAGAAAACAGGAAACAGGACAGGAGCCTACCACAGAGGGTCTCTGAAAGACTCTACCCATCAGTGTAGCAAAGCAGATGCTGAGGCTCATAGCCAAACTTTGGGCAGAGTGCAGGAAATCTTATGAAAGAAGGGGGAGATCGAAAGACCTGGAGGAGACAGGAGCTCCAGAAGGAGAGCAACAGTACAAAAAATTCTGGGCTCAGGGTTCTTTTCTGAGACTGATACTCCAACCAAGGACCATACATAGAGATAACTGAGAACCCCTGCACAAATGTAGCCCATGGATGGCAGCTCAGGATCCAAGTGGATTTCTTAGTAAGGGGAACAGGTACTGTTTCTGACATGAATTCAGTGGCTGGCTCTTTGATTATCTCCCCCTGAGTGGGGAATAGCCTTGCCAGGCCACAGAGAAAGACAATGCAGCCAGTCTTGATGAGACCTGATAGGCTAGGGTCAGAGGGAAGGGGAGTAAGTACTCCTCTCTATGGACTTGGAGAGGGGCATGGAGGAGATGAGGGAGGGAATGAAGGAGGTGGCTACAGCTGGGATATAAAGTGATTAAACTGTAATTAATATAATAACCTAGAACCCCTGCACAGTAGTAGCCCTTGGCAGTTTAGTGTCCAAGTGGGTTACATAGTAATGGGAAGAGGGACTGCCTCTGACATAATCTGATTGGCCTACTCATTGATCACCTCCCCCTGAGGGGGGAGCAGCCTTACCAGGCCACAGAAGATTACAATGCAGCCACTTCTGATGAGATTTGATAGACTAAATTCAGAAGGAAGGAGAGGGGGACCTCCCCTATCAGTAGACTTGGGAGGGGCATTCATGAAGAAGGGGAGGGAAGGTGGGATTAGGAGGGGAGGAGGGAGCGGTTCATGGGGAGATACAAAGTGAATAAAGTGTAACTAATAAAAGTTTTTAAAAAGGTGGGGGTGGTGGTGATTAGTTCATCCTTGAAGATCAGGGCTGCCGGCTTTTGGCTGGAGGTCAGGGACTACTCAGAAGAAGGACTGAGGCCACCTGGGTTGGTTACTAAGAAACACTATGTCGAAGAAAAAAATTAAAATTAAGAAAATAGATAAAATGTATGTCTAACTGTTTAAAAAGTTCTTACTTCAGAGTTGTCTATGCATTTCTGTCATTCCTCTTCCATTGTTACACTATTTTTTTTTAATTTCTATAAGTGGCTGCTTGATTTATTCTCTCAATCTTTGATAAGTATGAAGATAATAGTGGTTGGTGTGATGGTCAGGTCTTTACAAGTGTCATTGACCCCAGAAGGGAAGACAGTTCTGACACTTCAGCAAAGTTGACTCAGTACTCAATTAATTGTTTAAATCATCATAGAACACTGAGCTTGATCTTGTGTTAACAACCATTCCCTCATCACATGGCCAGTCTTTGTCTCTTTGTTTGATGTGTATGTATACACATACACTCCTTCATGTACATCAATTGGTCTGGCACACTAAGGATGCCTCCATAAAGGAGACTGAGTAAATCAGTCCTAAAAGGTGGGCATGAACACTGTATCCCATTCCACAAACAGGAATATATTCAATGTTAAATTCTCTATAAAAACAGGGAGGCCCAAGTGTGGTTGATGCACACCTTTAGTTCCAGCACTCGAGAAGCAGGAGCAGGTGTATCTCTGTCAGTTTGAGGCCAGTCTGTTCCACATACTAAATTCCAAGCCAGCCAGAACTACATATCTTGTTTAATAA